GAGAGAAATCTGGAAACATAAAAAGATGGAAAAGAGGTAATATTAAATATTTATAATATATATATATAAGGAATTTCGACCGACGTGTGGGTAGAAGGAAGGAGAGCAGACGAGGAAGGAAAGGGAGGGTCAGAGTCATCTTCCGCGGCGTTCAATCCACCGACTGGCGGGAAAATCCAAAAGGGTAACTACTACCAAGAATGCCTGTTGGTGATCCAACGAATCGGAAAAAGAAAGTCTTACGTCGTCTTCGTAAGCGAAATATAAATGACAGGGGCGTGTGGCTGCCCCGTGCACCTTCCAATCCATTGCGTCGTATAGAACCGCCATGTGTGGGATTGATGGATCCATCATTCGCTTTCCATCGGGCATCCGCCAGATAGCTGTGAAATGTTCCAGGTCCGCGCAAGCGAAAGAAGGAGAGATGGGAATGTGATCATGATTGAGTATGAAGGAAACAGAAGCAACGAAAGGGCATATGCACTGTATGGCCAAAAGCTTTTATATTCTCAACAAACCCACTCATGTCATCAAGTGGATCTCCTTTGGACTATGACTGTGGTGGGGCAATGCCCTTGTGCTGCTTTTGAATGCACCGTATCAGAGAACTTGAAGAAAGAAGTAAGGCGATTGAGAGGATTCGGCTTGATCACTCGTTGTGCAAAGGCAACAGTTGGGGCCTTGCCCGGCATTTGGTTGTATTTGCAGCTACTAAGATCACCCGAGATGTCCGGTGAGCAGCAAATGCGCCCTTGTCTGACAAAGAAAGACTGATTCCGAGACCACTTCGACGAACGGCGAACAATGATGACGTCACCCTAACATCCCTGAGACCCGAGTAATCCGTTCGATTTCACTGAAAACCTCAAAGCCACCAACACATATCGACGCACACTCATGCACGTAAGAATTATGTAGAATTATATGGGCCGTCCACGCTTCTGACGGGCCATCGCGCGCGTTTCCCTTTATTTATTCGCCAATCGTGGCCCATCGCCTCCTCCCTATGCGTCCTTCCCCTCCCTTCCCATTTACCACCCTACCTACACTTTCAACAACCGTGACATCGTTTCGCCCCCCCATCTTTGGGAAAATAATGAGATGTACCACGGAATATGGGCGAGCCTGCATTCCTGTACATCTTCCCTGGCGTCGATTGGACAAGAAGGTGTCGAAAACCAAGCTACCCATCTCCACCACTATGCACTCGTCTTCTTCAGCATTATTGGAAACGCCCTTGCATTCGACTTTCTTCTTCTGCCAATAACTCACAAGAAACTCACTTCTGAAACATACAGGAATCCATGAGGAGAAGAGCGTTCTTGTTCTTTGCTTGGGTGCTCATGAGTAGCCTAGGCTGGGGTCAGACACAGCCTACGGAGGACGCCGGCCCGGTGTCCTCCCAGACGCTTCAGGTAAGCAAAGCGAAGGGGCATAGAAACATTCTGGAACAAGAAGAGGAGCACGGCCAAGACCAGGAAACATGTGATGCAGGGAGTCGCGCAGGAATAGGGAAGGCGGGGCTTGCACGGTCACGCGATAGACCCTCCCTTTTCCTTTTCGTTTTCTTTTCGTGGAGGAGGACTTGCACGGTCACGCAATAGATTTTCCCATTTTCCTTTTCGTGTTTTTTCCCTTGTGATGTCTCCTTTTTCCTTTTTTTTTTCTTTTACTTGTGCTACCTTCATCTTCTGTTCCTTTTCCCCTCCTTGTGCTGCCTCCCTTTTCTTTCCCTTTTTTCCTCGTGCTGGAATGAGCACGCGTTTCCCTCTTTTCCCGTTCACGTGGTTCTTGTCCCGCTGGCCATCCTCGACTACAATTTGACATCAACGTCCCCCTCCATACCGTACACTTCATCCCACGATACAGACGCAGCAGGAGCAGCAGGCGCAATTCTTCCCTCCCCGGAGACAAGAGGAGGAGGAGGAGGAAGAGGGAGGGAGGGAGGGAAGGAAGGAGCATGGGCGTTCAAATCCTATCCCTCAAAGCAGGGAGGGGGAAGGTGATGAGGAGGGAAGGATGGAGGAGGAGGAATCTGAGAGGTAGGGAGGGAGGGAGGGAGGAAAGGCTGCGAACACCTCCTTGAATGACGCGGCTCCAGTGTACTCACGCCTGCTCTCCTCCTTTTTTCATCCTTCAATGTTGTCGGCGGCCTTTTTTCCCCCCCCTGATCGCGTCTTTTTGTTTCCCCTGATCGCATTCCCCCCCCCTTGTGATCCCTTTTTTTGGGTGGGGGTATATTATTTATATATATTTA